GGAGGCGGAATAAACTGATCTGCATGCAACTGAGGGCCATTAGAGTCTGCAGAGAAGTTCCCAATTGGCGTGGGGGCCTCGGAAAGGGCCTGGAGGCCCGGGGCGTCGCTGGCGTAGAAGTCGTCCACGGCTGCGGCGCTGAGCGCCGGCTCGCCGCCGCCGACAGGCTCCAGCATCATCTCCAAACGCATGCAAAACTCTTCCAAATCCCAAAAACAATGAACTGCGGTCGCGCCACGGCCTCTTCGCGCGCGCTTCTCCAGCTTTCCGCCAGCAGCAGCAGGCCGGATGTGCAAACTCACTGCGCCACGTGTGCCCGCGCTTCCGCTCAAGTGCCCACTCACAGCTCAGCCTCTCCTTTATTTCCTTTTATTCAGAAAAGACGCAATCAAAAGAGCTCAGGCTAGACGCGAAGCGAACAAGAACGCCGCGCGGGACCCAGAGCTGCGCGGCTGCCGCCGTCCCGCCGGTCAGTCAGTCAAGCACACCCAGCGGGTGTCTGCTCTCTTTCTGGCGCCAAAATGCTGTCCTTTTCTCCTCAAATTTAGCCTAGTCTGGCGCTTCACTACGTGCAGCTATTATTTCTTGGAAAAGAACACTTCAACGTCCCTGCGCCCGCGTTTTCCCGCAGAGTTGCCGCAGCGCAGAAGCTAAGTTGCCAACAGCGCAGCGAGCTGTCTGCCGCCGTCGCTTGCGGTGCATCTTCGCCTCTTTCAGGACTAAAAAAAAGTATTTCGTGATTAAGTACGACTTGGCTGCTATTGGACCAGCTTCTGTTTTCCCCGGTAGCCTTTAGAAGCAGCTTCAGCCTCAGGAACACCCCGGCACGGAAACCTGCGCTTTCCAAGTGACCCCCGGGCGACACACAGCAGCTTCCCTGCTTCAAAACGCCACAAAAGTGGCTGCTTACGAATAATAGACACTCTCGAGCTGCCGTTAGAGTGCTGCCGCGGGCGGCCACAGCCAAACTAGTCGCTTTCCGCTGTGTTGCACCTGCTGCAGCGCAGCTGCATAAGCTGCCAAGGAACTCTTTGTTGCAGTGCAGCTTAGCCCGGTAGCCTCTGCAACATTTGCTTCTTGCAACAAGCGACGCTCTAGCGGCGTCTAGCCCCCCGAAAGAACCATTTGGGGGCAGTCGCTAAGCTCTCACTCGGGCCTTCTGCTTCTCTTATGCCCCTAAAACTTCTCCCAGGTGCCTTCCCCGGCACTTAATTGTCTCAGTGCAGAAAGCTACACTTTCCCGACGAGCTTTAGATGCCACAGGAGCAGCCCAGCTCAACCCCCAGAGCCAGCTTTCCTGGGGGAGCGGCTGACTACTAAAGACAGGCTAGCGAGGCACTACTGAGTCTTGCCGATCCCAAAGCTCCGAGCTACAGGCTGCGGAGCTCTTACTGCTTCATTTTTGAATCATTTTTGCTTCTCTAGAGAGCTTTTGGCTAGCCAGCTAGCTGCAGCTGGCGCCGTGCGATCCCCAGTTCGCCGGCTCGCGGACTGAGGGCTGCGAAGCCCACTTATTGTCGCGGTTTCTTTAAAAATGAATATCGTTTGGCTGAAATGCTCTTCTGTCTGCAAAAGACAGCATTTATTTGCGAAGTTTGGGTGCAAACGCAGGCCAAAAGTGCCCCTGGAATGCAGCAGTGGCCTTCCGGGGCTGTTAAACAGTGAGCTGTTCAAGATTAGAAAGTTGAATTCTGAGCAACTTGAGAGTATTGAACATATTTAAATCGCTGGCGGACAGTCTGCGGAGGAGCCGCAGCACCCTTTAAATGATTTTTTTGAGATTACGTTTCTCAAAATTTCTCCCTAGCGCAAGTTGCTGCCTTACTCTGGGCTTCTTGAGTGCTGCCGTTGCTGCTCATGGGGCCTCCACGCAGCGCTGCCACTCGCAAAGCGGCAGACATAAGTGCTTCCATGAAGGCTCTTAGCATAAAAGGCTTTGCTGTCCTCAGGGGGGCTGCATTCCCCCCGAAACTGTTTGTCTAGGACTCGTTCTCTGGGGCCTAAGATGCTTTCTAGCTGTGTACTATTAGGCTCTTTGCAAGTGCACCTTTTGGGCCAAGCAGCCGCACTTGGGGCCGGAAATTACTTCCAAACGGAAGCATTAGCAAGGGATACTGATCGTAAGTAGACATGAAGC